CTGCGAACTCAGCTGGGTGAGCAGAAAGGGCGACTACAGGTTCTGCAATCTCAAGTGGCTCGGCGCAGTGATGTTGACTCGGAGTTGGCGGTCCGGAAGGTAGAGCTTCAGGAGAGCACTGAAGCAGCCCGCCGTGCACGAGCAGCCGCCGACTCCACTGCCGCTCGTGCAAAACAGCTACGGGATGAGAGGTCGCGTAATGCTGCCAAGTACCGGCATGACCTGGACACCCAAGATGCGCAAATTCGAAACCTGCAGCGTGAAGTAGATGCTCTCACGGAGCTTGGGAAGTCCATCGAAGTGATGCAGGGTCGTGTTGAAAACGCGGAGGTTTTGAAAGCCAAGCTGGCCATAGCTGATGACAGTGTTCGGTCTGCAGAGCGCGAGCTCGAGGGCTTGCGAGCCAGGCTGGAGGCAGCCGAGGACAAGCGCAAGAAGAAGGAGGTGATCCGTGAAGCCCTCCAGGCCAACATTCGGCTAAAAACCGTCGAGGAAGAGGCCGAACGCCACCAGCAAGAAATCAATTCTTTGCTGAAAGACCTTGGCGGCCGAGATATTGAGGCTTTGCGACAACAACTGTCGAGCGTGCGGTCGCGCTCCATGGAGCTGCAAAAGCAACGCTCTTTTCGGGAAGGTGAGCTGGTCCAGACCCGCGAGGCGATTAGGTCCTTGGAAGTTGAGCTGGCTTCCCCTCTCTACGCAGGACTGCCTGACTGTGTGTCTGGTGTAGTGGCAGGATGAAGCCAGTGCCTTTGCAGAGCGTCTGCAAAGACTGGCCTTCAGACTGAATGTGACTCCTTCGACGCCGCTCTGTGCGTTGCGATGCATTGGGGCAGTTTCAGCCTGGGTCGCAGGAGTGGAACAGCGCCATCGAGAAGCCACAATTCGGCATGAGTCAGCTGCACTCGCAGCTAAGGACAGCAATTTGAGCGGTCTTGAATTTTGTTCTTTGCCATGGCCTAGAAGTCCTCATCTTCTGCAGGACCTAGGCCGATACCATTCAGCGCTGGACAAGGCCTTGATGAAGTTCCATTCGCTCAAGATGGCCGAGATCAACAAGACAATAAAAGAGTTATGGCAAAGGGCCCTTTGGCAAAGCTTAAAGCTTAAGGTGAGCTAGCGCACGTGCCAGCTGCCGGTTTCCAAAGATCTGATTCCGCATTCAGCACTGCAAAGGTTTACCGCGGAAGAGACATTGACTATGTCGCAGTAAGGCTGGGCTTTGCAGATCGTCTTGTACCCATGACATGAGATGACCTGACCGCTCAAGCACTGCCAGGTCAGACTCGGAAGAGGGAGATGGTGAAGGGCCTGTGGATTCTGCAGCATCTGGCCGTGCAATGTGCCGCTCCAAGCGCGGACGGTTCAGCGGTCTGTGTTCGAAAGAGATTCTCGCTGGTTTTGTGCTGAGACGGTCCTACAACTACCGCGTTGTCATGGTCTGCGGCGATGCAGAGATGGACATGCGTGCTGCGCTCAGTCTTTAACATGTGCGTTTGTGGAAGGTCACAGAGCTCAAGCTGCTCTTTTGAGGCCTTTCATGGCCCCGCTGCATGGGTGCACACGTACAGATCACACCACGGAAAATCACTATCTGCAACAAGTGCACAACGACGCGCGTGCAACACAGTACTGCATGCGCGCTCCAGTGTCGATGGCGCAAATCACGGAGTGTTAGAGAATGGTCCGGGGCAGTGCCACCGACTTGAAAATCAAATCTTGATTATTGACCACCCTTGGCAGGGCTGTTCGATTTCAGTAAACCATTCTCCTCGCCTCCCGGCCTCCTGGCCGGTCCGGACTCGCCAGAGAAGCGCAGCCCATATACAGTCCCTGTATCCTGGAGTGCCCCCCACACAGAGAAACCCGGAGAGAGTCCGCCCACGAGCCAGAGCTTTGTTGAAATGCGTCTCGGGCTAGGTTGCAACTTGTTCTTGTGAGAAGAGGGCAGGTAGCTCCCAGAACGATCTCAAAGTAGACATGAACTGTGAGATGAGTTCTAGAAATAACTGTCATATTTTTGAAAAAGGCTTGCCATCAATCACTTGACGACAAGTCATGTGTGGTTGATTGCTGGAGGCCTGGTGCCTTGACATGGCCAAGCGGCAAGCACAAACAAATATTACACTTGCAAAGCCATTGCACCCGTTCTGCCCAATGCTTGTGTAAACCTTATTTGGTAGCGCATCAATTTTCGTGTACGCAGAACCCTTTTGCACACTTCAGGTGGACGCTGCAGCGCCGGGCAGCGGGTCCTTTGCTCCCTCATTATCCGCCTGGCCTTGGCAGATTCGTTCTGCGTGAACTGTCCCCTTGACTTCAACAGTGTAAATTGATAAATGTTGTGGGGGAGATCTAGCTGCTTTGTTTCCTCTTCTTCTCTTCTACTGGCAGGCTTCCCATAGTCAAGCGTCACCGGGAAGACTCTCGTGCATCATGCTAGGCCATCGTTGGTTGACCGTAAGTGGGGTTTCGCCGGTGTGCTTGATGCTATCAATGCCTGATGGTGTCGCTTGGGTGGAGCCAAGGTGGGGTGCTTGCACTTGACGAGCCGACAACGAATTTAGACTCAGCCAACGTCAGAGGGCTCGCGGAGGCTTTGCCGATACGAGTAGAAATTCCTTTGGACACAACAGCCTGGACTCTGCGCCAGGCCTTGGCCAACCTCATAGAAGCCAGACGTGCGCAAGCACGATTCCAGCTGGTGCTGATTACGCACGACGAGGCCGGTCAAAGCCCACTAAAGGTGAAATCATAGCTGTTCACGGCTGAGTAGAGGAGCAGGCTGGCCGAGGTCATACTTGTAGCCTGCGTATAACTTCTTTGTTGCGGTTTCCTGGTTGTAGCTCTGTTGCCTTAGTTGCCTCGCGGCGCCAGCGACTTCCCAAACATCGTCAAGCCTTCAGTCATGTTCATCGGGCTCATTGGATGTTGCGTGCCTCGCCTGGCATGTCCGATATGTGAACCCCAGGACGCCTGAACCCCCGTGACGCTGAAAGCTTCAACCTCCAACAAGGTGTTCCCTGCATACACGGGCACACACTTCATGTAAGCCTCAACTCCAAACACACGGTTCACGCAAGTACAGCGCGTGGCGACCGTCAAATTGCCGATTCTCAGCGCAACGCGCGCAGAATGCCTGTGGACTTGTGCGACCGCTTGGTGAGCACCACGTCCCGACTTAGGTCACCACGCCAACCTGCCGATTCCGAGCATTGAATGAAGCTCGTAAGATCCTTTAAGTAATGAGTTCGGATGTCTGCCAGGGATTTTTTCATCTCACGTCTATGTGAAATGTTTGTTGTGTGTTTTTTGTGTTGGCAGGTGAGACGACAGACATGCCGCAAGCATACTGTGCTTACTATTGTTGATGTTTGCTGTAACACGGACAGTCTGTCAGTTTTTTGCGTGCTCCTTTCCAACACTAACGCTGCGCGGTTTTGTCCAGCTATACGGGAGCAGCAAAAATGGAATATGCCTACTCCGGACCCATGAGCCAAAAGTCCCAATGGAGAAGATTTGCCGAAGCCTTGGCAGAAGCATCTCAAGCATCTTGTTTTAGATGCATTTAGATGCCAAGGGTTGCCTAAAGAGGATGGTGCCACTCACCTAGCGAACTGCTTCCCAGCTTCCACAAGAAACGGAAAAGCTGCAAGTCAAATCGCGTTTCAAGGATCAGGCTATGGGGAGATAGTCAGATACTTCTCTTGTCGCCCCTAAGGTGGGGGGATGAGATTGTTCATGTGGCCTTCCGCTGTGATAAGACATGGGGTTGGGGGGGTAATCGCCTTGCATGGTGGAGAGGATCGGGATAAGGCACACAAGTGTATTCTCATGTTTCCCTGTTTCCCAGCGCAAAGATAAGGGGCTTGCGTTCCATGCAAGCAATGGAAAGCGGCGTCGTTAACTGAACTGTAACTGTAAGCCCAACACTGCTTGATCGTGACCGATTTCTGGCCGCTCTAGTAAAGCCGCATGTCCATGGCTCGCTGCTGTTCGAGTGGTCGTGCAGAAACAGAGGATTTCATCACCGCCTGGCGAAAATTTCAAGATCCCACGATTCCTTTGAACAACCCGTTGCCCCTAACCGCACATTTGTGGAGCCGAAAATGTCAACATGGCCCCCGCGTTCACAACATTTCACAACTAAGAAGTCAAATACGGCACCCAGGTGGCAGCAAAGACTTGCAAAGTAAGGCATAAGTAGGAGAACTCAGTGTACTTTTCGAACATCCAAGCACTCCAGACCTTGCGATCGGCCAGGCCTTTGTCGACCGCCTTGCGCAGCTCCAAGTGTCTGAATGGTTTTATCGTATTCACAAAGACGAGACTTGGAAGCAGCGTTGCCGTTCTTTCGTGTTTCATCCGTGCGATGTTTGGTTCAATGTCCACGGTAATGAGGCTGTGAACACCAGGTTTTGGTCTCATTGCAAACGTGCCCGTTGTTCCTACTCCTTTAAGCTGCATGCGGTTCTTGCTCCTGCGGGGTGATTGAAGTTGCGTTCTCATTTGGCCAGTTGTGTGCTGGGCATTTTCATCAGAGAAGTTTGGGCCTGGCAGTCTCGATTCAGGAGTCTGGATGCTCAAAGATTGAAAAGCAGCGATTCCAGAGGTTTGGCGATTAGAGGCTTCGAGCCTTCAATTTCCCTTGAAATTTTGCTAATCCGTGATGCTAACTGTTCCATGAGATTTTAAAGCACATGGTCTGAGAAAGAGAGCAGAAACAGTACAGAGACCCTGCTCAATTCACTGCATGGGGCAGTGCAGTGCCTTAGCTTTCAGCCTTAGCTTTCAATCTTGGCGGCAGCACTTACAGGCTGCGTTTCACAGGGCTTCGAGCAGTTGTTGCGGTCTGCTGCCTGCAGCGCGTGGCAAGCATTATCGTTGCTGAGACAAAGAGCTAAGCTAGCCTTCGGGAAGTACAATGAAGTACAGTAAGAAGCGACTTAAAGATTTAAAGATTGAGCGAAACAGACCAGAGCCAAAGAGAGCGCCGTCAGGTATCTCACAAGGTCGGGGCTGGCCTGGGGCCTGGAACCCTTTTGGGCTTCGGCAATCAGCCTTGGTCACTTATAGTCCTTTCCGCTTTGGATGTGGTGACGCCGTGAGGCACCTGAATCTGCAATGGCCTTGAACTACAGCTTGTTCAACTGGGCAGCTGGGGACTCGGCATTTCTGTGGAGCCTTCTGTTCAGCTAGGAGTCGGGGTTTAGTTACTTTCGTGCGCCCCAATCGGAGAAGACTTGACAAAGGCCTTGAGTGATGCATGCTCTTTTTTTTGCTGATGCTTCGCCAATGCTTAACGAATGAGCCCACAGGTCAATTTGATGAGTTTTTTTACCTTCCGCAGAACAGTTTTTGTACTAATGCCAGTTGCCAACCCTAGCCTAGCCTGGCACCTTCAGACATCCAGAAGATTCCAGAAGAAAAGCAGACGTCCACCAGAAACTCCAACAGCCACGAAGAATGCTTTATGTCATGCGTTTTACAGACACCCAGCGCAGTACACCACAGCAATTGGTGATTAGATGTCATTAGTGTAGCCCAGATGTGGCGTTGGCGTTTGGGTTTGGAGTGTGGGAAGAAGGCCTCAGACTGCGCGAAGTCCACGGAACAAGCCGAACAGGTCAAGCAGCACTACAGTAGAGTGCACACCGTGCCACCGTGCCACCGTGCCACCGTGCCACCGTGCCACCGTGCCACCGTGCCACCGTGCCACCGTGCCACCGTGCCACTGTGCAGTCTGTTGGGGCCAGGTTATGAGCTGCGGAGATACTTGGTCAGCTACAAAAAGAATTTCCAAACATTTTGACGATTCGTCCCTTGTCCTGTATCACATGCTGATGTTAAGACGTACTGTCATCCAGAAGCAAGGCTAGAAAGATGCCACCCGGGCTGGGTCTTGACACTGCCAGGCGTCACATCAATGAACCTCACCAAAAGCAGCATAGCACAACATATGAAGGGGAACAACTTTTTCGATTTTCGGAGAGTCAAGGAGCCGGGAAGAAGCTAGGTCACTCGTCTTTTGACATCTTTTTGACACCACCTTGTTTTTGCAAGGCTGTGCATGGCCCAGGCGAGTTTCATGGGCCGCGGGCTTACACTTCATATGCTGCACTGGCGCCAGCAGCGTGTTCCATGGAGAAGAGGCCGCACACCCACGTCGGCGAGTACCACGTGGGGGTCTTCTATGCTCAGGTCGAGCTTTGAGCAGCAGTGGGCGTGACTCGGTTGGGTTCTAACGTCTTGGCTGCTCGATGCTTACATGGCTCTCGGCTGGAAGGGTGAGCCACTCCGAAAGTGTTTCCAGCCCTGTTCTTGGTTTTGTTTCAGCCTCTATTGGAGTTTTATTTCATGCCGTAGCTCACCGCCCCCCCCCCCCCCCCCGGAGCAATGGATTCTGGCCGAGACTTGGCCCCAGCTGAAGTGTTGCGGGAGCGCGCGTTGGCAGAAGCACCACTGCTAAGTCCCAGACTGGAAGAGCTCAGGGAGCTGCACGGATCAGGCATCCTCTCTCCACCAGATGTTTGTGTTTGCTACATTCTCCTCTCGCTCAGTGTGCGCTATGGTGATCGCCTTCTGGCTGGTTGGCGACGTCCACATAAGGCGGAGTTGCACGACGTTCCGCAAGAAACTCCGCACTTCTCAGCTAGACTATGTGATGAGCGCGTTGACACACTCCTAGGAAAAGATGTCTTGAGCGATCGCTGTTTGGACAAATTGGGCTTGGCTAGAGACACGGCAACATTGAAGGACTTTGCTTGCAAGGCACGTCTGCACAGGATCCCAGACCACGTGTCCACCGGACTGGAGGAATTTTATGAAGGTCGTCGACCACTGCGCTTGATTTACAGAATACCTGAACCGCAAGACCTGCTCACAATGCAGGCAGATGGTGTACGATGTGTCAGCGCACTCACATCCCGTCGATTGTTGTCACAAGTCTACGGCCATCGAGATTGTTTGGAGATGCTGCTGCATGATTTCGCTCACATGGAAAAGTTTGTGGAAGCAGGTCGTTTTTGGCAGCAAGTTGGTTTTTTTGAGTTCCTCAAGACAAGTGTAAGCCCACGCCATTTGGAGCAGTGGCAGCCCAGATATGGAAGGAGATGGGAGCTGTCTTGGTCTTATATTTCCTCGGACATGAATGCAGTGGCCAACCATATGTTTCTGACCCTCAGAGCGCAACTCATGGTGGCCATGGCTCGCAGCACGCTTCTCGAAGTGGGGCGATTAGACGACTCTGATGCAGAACTGGAGTCGGCGAAGTCTGACGTGTACCCAAGGGCCAGCATGTCCAAATGGAAGCCGTTGCTGCAAGATGCAGGACTTTTGCCGCACTTCGAGGACTTTCGGTAGCATTCTGTGGTCAAGCCTTTTGCTGTTAGTGGTTTGTCTTTTTCTTTCTTAGTACTCATGTGAGAACAAATGGGCAGGAGCAGTTTGTGGAGGAATGGCGTACTTTGCTTTCTATGCATGTTCGCCACGTTGAAGAGATGTATCCGTGCATCTTCGAGCCCAAAGAAGGACAGCACCAGCGCACAGAGCACGACAAATGCAAGTTCAAGATGTGGCAGTGAAAGTCTCCTTGTGGCTTCTAGGAGACTCAGCATCTTCTCACTTTGGCCTGTGGCCAAGACCGAGTCTTGACGAGTTCATGCAAGCTGCGATGGAGCCATCGTTGAACCCGGTCCGATCAAATGCGCGGCGCTCAGTCACAGCACTCCAAAGAAAACCCGCCCTACTCGTGATAGTTTCAACTGGGCTGAGTGATAGTTTCAGTGGGCTCGGTTGGACCAGGCAGCCATCATTGCGCATTTTGACGAGCTGGGCCGGCGCAAGCTAGAAAGCGCAATGGCAAAATGAGCTGGGAAAGGAAGCTCAGTGAGAAAGTCGAGGCATGGATGTAACAGACATGTTTCAGACATTTCGTGCGCAGGCTGGTGATGGTGCTGGAAAGTTGCGCTTCGGCGATCCGCGAGGCACCAGACAAGCAGACGACTTCACAAATTGCTTGACTGATGCTGCTTGCCTTGGGGTGATTTCGTTGCCAGTTTCCATGCTTTGCAGTGCCTTCTGTGAGGACATAGCCCTCCATTCGGCCGATCCTTCTTTCACTCTCCGAGGCCAGCTGGACCACTTGCTGCAGAGACAGCAGGGTCGAACATGGCAACATTGCCAAAGTTGTCTAAATTGCGTTCAGCAAAGGTCCGGCGACCTGGTGTTCTTCCCGCCATGAACCCAGAGTCGACAATGAGTCCACAAGCCAGAACTACGTCGAGATGACTTCGGGTTCTAGCTGCGTGATGCGTGTGACGGACTCGGGGCTGATGTTTCTCAACATGAACCACACCGATGCTTTCTGGAGAAGGTCTTGGCTCAGTCACATGGCAACGGTGACGGCTCCGCAGTGAGCTTCTGAGACACGGCCGATGTCGCACTGTTTGGCTGCAGTTCGTGTATCAAGTCCAGCGAATCATGGATGACCAGGACAAATCCTACTTCCGGAGAAAGCCCTCCATTGCGCTGCCAGCTCGAAACTTCAGGGGTTGTCACGCACGGGAAGCTTGTAAGAGAACAGATGCTCAAGAGCATACTGAGATGGCAGACGTCACTTCAGCCAGGCGTGTCGTGTTTTCCTTCAACATTGGACCGGTTCAGGGCCCAATGCCGTGCAAGACCCAGATTCTGCAGATGCCTCGCACCCAAGACGCAAGCATACCCAAACCCAAACCAACCTCTGCTGTTGATGCGTCTTGTGCACAGGGGGCACCTAGGGAAGCACAAGAAGGTTACAACACTACAGCCCTGCAATGAAGATACCTGTAGGCACTACAAGTTGTTGAATTCGGCATTGTGCTAGGAGCTCAATACCCGAACACCCAGCACAGACTCGGACGGAGAAAGGGTGACCAGGCCCCCCTTCCCTGGATCTAGCTTGCGTCGGCTGATTCATTCTGATGCGTGCTGTTTTGGCTCGGTGCTGGAGCTAATCCAGATCATCCGAGATCCGAGTGATCTCTGGTGCCAGTGCCTGAGCTCGCGCTGAAGAAGAAACATGCAGATGCAAGACGGATTTTGCCGCGGAGACTTGCGCTCTTTTGATGTCTGCAAGGACTGGCGGCTTGTCATGGGTTTGGCAACGTTGGTTCTGCTGCTGGCCCCGCTGGCGCAGGCAGAAACCAGCAAGTGCCCAGGAACCTGCACAAGACTTAGACTGGCACCGTAGCCCTGCTTCATGACAGCTGTTGTCTGCAAAGCAGCTTAGCATGCTTGCCTACGGGTCAAAGGGCCAAACGAGCATGCCGCAGGGTTCTGCATCAAGCGCTAGGTGCTGTAGCTGCCATGGCTGGTGTGCTGTTGCCCTGCCGCGGGTGTTACTAGCAAGCAGGTCTTCCATTTTCCGATATGTTGCTCGGTCGCGTTGGCAATCAACAGCAGCAAGAGTCACACGTACAGCTTTGTTCAAGGTCATGCGTACCCCTGCCATAGCACCGATGCGCCTGACACTTTTGGCATCCTGGCATGCATGTTGCAGGCTGCAGCCAAAGCCTTGCCTGTGTTGCATGTGTGCAAGCCAAAAGCTTAACGCTAGGATGCGTTTGGCATAAGAGGGCTCCTGCCCAAGCGACTTGAGAGCATTGATAGTTGGGACAGGGACCAGCAGAACCGTGGCCTCTGCACATCTTCCCATACCGCGAGAATTCCGAGAATGCTTGTTTCATTCGCACGCGTCTGTATCGAGAAAAGCTAAGCTCTTCTTCGCAGAACGTCGTTCATCGAAATCCATTTTGTTTTCGGTGAACAGAATGCATGTGTAGAGTTTAGCAGGCTCGGGTGCACATGTTTCATTTCACTTTGCCGAAGTGCCTTTTGGTGGCTTAAGCTTGGCAGTCGATCCGAAAACGGCAGGCAGAAGTTGTTTCTGTCTTGTGTTATCACAGGGTGGTGCCCCTGAGGTATTTCTCACTGGAACGATGATGTTCAGGGCTTTTGGCCTTTCATAAAAGCCAGTGCTGGCCACCATCGCCTGCATCGATTTTGCCAGACACCTTCGCCAGGCGAGTTTGTCCCTGCTTGGAATTCGGTGGAGAAAGGATCCCTGAGTTGCCAGGGATGTCTCGGTTCGGGTGGCCCCTTCGTCAACGAAAATTGCGTTCCTTGAAGTTTACAGATCCCATTCAAGACAGGGTACTGGTGCTTGGGTTGCTAAGACGATGACGGTAGGCCGGTTCGGCGGTCGGGAGGCTGTGGAGGAGGCTGATCCACCGACTAGTTGCAAGATGTGATCTTCCAAATCGTGAAATTCCACGGACATTTGGAGACAGTAGCGAGGCCCCGAAGCCATTGAGGAGGGGCGAGCTTCGTGCTCTACGAGATGGAGGCGGTTGTGGCCAGGTCCAGCAGCTGGAACAGCCTCCAATTGGAGTTGGCTGGGGAAAAGGCAATGGCGGCCAGGGGCATGTGGTTCAGCACCGCGTATGCAGCCTGAGAGCGGGGTCCGGATGAATGGAGCCCGTGGGTGTCTACGAGTTCGCGGAACAGAGGGGGCGTTTACTGGTTAGACTTGCATTCACGGTGCTTGTCGTCGGTTATAGGCGGGTAGATGCGCGAGAAAGGGTGTGAACCCCAGCCCGATTCACGGTGGAGAGTTGCGTCCTGCCGGACAAGACTCCCCTCCCACCTGCTTAGGCAAGGGACCAGCTGCCCGTCACGAACTGGTCCTCGCCGTTCATCCCCGGTAAGCACTGCTCACCCTTACTGCTCACCCTTCAATTGGACAACGTGCTACGTGGGACACATGATGACATCTGGCTTGGCTGGGGACCTCCCCAAAGCCCAAAGCTCCTTCAAGCCCACGATCTGTGGTCCCTGGAGTTGCGCGCGGGGGCTCTGATCTGAGCCAGGGTGGGGATGTTCGAAGTGGTAATTGGACAGGTTGCGCGGGTAGTAAAAACAGAGAAAACAAATGGCCGGGAAGGGTCGGGCGCGTAGAGGAGGAGAAGAGGCGGGCAGAGTGGTAGAGGAGATCGGGGAAGGGCAGGGAAGAAAGAATCGGGGCAGTGGGGCGGGGAGGCAGAAGGGGCAGAAGCTCCGCCATGCAGCATCGATCAGATTGAGGAGCAGGTTTGCTGAGGTTCAACTACCGCAGACGCTCCTCGACAGTGCTTGCTGCAGAAGGATTTATCAGAGTTGCCGACCAGCTTTGTGCGCAGAGGAAAGCTTTCCTTAAGGGGGTATGGTATCATGAGACGGGCCAAGCCGGTTGGGGCCTAGCGAGGGACGAGGAGTCATCCTGGAATCCTTACAGACTGCTTCGTCTGAAGCGCCTGAATGGGTCTAAGCCTCTTCTAAGCCAGGCTTGGTGATGGTAGTCCTACAAAACATTGCAGCTCAGAACCAGCACACTGATGCCCAGTGGTCTCTGTCGATCCAGGTATGCTTGGCTTGGCAGCAGGACTGGTGCTTGCTCGGGTTTGTGCTTCATATCGTGTTCGGTTTCTTGAATCAGGAGGTGTTGGCCAAGTCACACACGTCTGCAGCTCACGCGCCCCTGACGGCTGAAATCCTCTCGAAGGCTGGCGAATGTTTTCAGGATTCGTGCCGGCTCGCAAGATGTAACATGGTACATCATGGTACTCGGATATGCTGCAGAGCCAGGCAATGGCGAATTCGTGTAATGCACTCCGTTTCTGAAGGGCATCGTTGCCGCATCAAGAGGAAACCTGTCGGTGCTGCGTTTCTGCAGCCCACAGCCCCGCCGAAGCAACACCGCTTGTTTCCAAGGTGCCAAGTTCGGGATGACAGAATTGTCACAAGAATGCCGTCCCAGCGGCTGTAGCCGACACGGAAAAATGTTGTCAGATTTTTCAGCAGTCCGTCCTCATCATGCGTGTAAAACGCGCATGTACCAGGAAAGATGTCCCTGTTGTTAGAGGCGCGGGGCCAAGGGGCGGAGTGCGCCGGAGAGGAACCACCCAACGCCAAGGGAGCTATGGGTCGCCAGGTTTATGCTGCAAGCATCGGTAGCCTAGAATGTCCTCAGCCTGATGGGGCCGTGCACGCGAAGCGCTCATCGAGTACCCTCCGCGATGTCAATGCTCACACCAGGGGAGGCCACGTAACTGGGGTTTCAGTTGCTTCACCGCAGCGCCAAGAAAGCAGCCGCAAGTAGTCTCCATGCAGAACAAGCAGCTTCGCTGCAGGATCTGTCGGTGGATGGCAATGTCAGCAGAGCTCTCGTGAATGACTGGGGCAGCAGGTAGGGAATCCTACCCCATTGTGCATGATCGTGCATTGTTGTCACGACCTTGTTCATGACCGCTGGATCGCTGAGCTTACAGATGCTTTCAGGCACTTGAGTGATCCGTCTGCGAGCCTCCTTCGGCGAGGAGGCTTGAATGGGAAGCTAGGGCTTCCGTCTTGGATTGTGCTGTGCTCCTGTCGAGATTGTACCAGCAGATCTTCTGTGAAGCTAAGCATGGACGTCAAGTTGTTCTGCGCGTTGGGGACCGCTTGTTGCATCAGCACGCATCAATCTGCCTCATGCTTGTGCAAAACCTATAGGTCCTTCGCTCTGTAAATACACTTTCAAGGTCTGAAGGCCAGTGGTCTCAGCACTACACAGCCTTTGCGCAGGGCCAGAGTCTGTGTTTAGACTTTGCCGACTTGCGCTGCTGGCAGCTGTGATGGCTTCCGCAGCAGCATCTTGCCCAATACCCGCGCTTGACAGAGCGTGCTTGCTCTACGGGCTGCTTGTGACAGCTTGTGTATGAGGTGGCATGGTCCATGGGCCAGACTCTTGAAGGACAATTCAGCACAGAACGCGTCCTTGTTCTAGTTCCTGGCTCCTTCGAGTGCATGTCCCAGCCCAGGAAAAGGAGCAAGCAGATGCACAAGGAGGCTGCTTCCCATTTCTCGATATGCAGACGGTCAGCAGAACCTGTTACAAGCGCCCGCGGAGAGGAGCGAGGCATCAGCGAATGCCCATATCCTTGGCCAGCTTTGCCGCGCCTCGGATAAGAGTGCCGTCCACTTCATCATGTTTCGACAATCCATGTCTCCAGTTGGGCCCATGCCATGCTCAGATGAAAGCAAGAGGCCTTATGCAGACGTAGCTGCAGCTGGCCGGACGTTCACGGCGGCAGGTGGCACAATGCGGTCGCATCCTTATCTGCGCCTTTGAATTTGGCGCGCATGTCTCGTCGAGCGTTGCAGGTGGGAGGCACCTTGTGCCTGTGCTTTTCACTGATTTTATTGCTGGCTCTGGCTCTTGGCTTGGTTTTGTCATGTTTTGCTGCTGAATTGTGCCTTGCTTCTGTTCTCTGCATGCTGCTTGGTTATTGCTTTGTTTACATGCCATGCTTCTTTAAAGTTCGGACACACCTGTGCTTGTTGCAGGCCGGCAAAAGCCGGCCAACAGAGTCCCGCAGCAAACGAAGCACCACCCGAAAAGGCAAACAGCTGAGGATCACACGGAGCAGCGCAACCCATTTTTGCACGCACGGCAAATTGCATGCTTCTGTGTGTTTCTGAGGCATGCTCTTTTGGCCCATGGGATGCTGCCTTCTGGAAGTGCCACGGGCTTGTCGCATTTGCTGTGCCTGTTCGGCTAGGTGCACACTGCAGATCTGAGACTTGTCGTTTGCACCAATGGCATACCAATGGCTCA